CTCCCTTCATTCGTACTTTACTAGCAAATAAGGCCCTAGAAAACGCTTATATTTATGCCCTCCATTATATTTATCAAAGTCCAGGATACCCCCTCATAAATAAGAGAGAGGGCTGACTGTAGCATAATCAACCGACCTGAAAGAAACAGTCGACCATGACGACGAGACGACGGTACCACCTCTCCCTTGACCTGTGGTTCATATGGACTTGTGGTGCCTTATCCTCAGTGACAGCAGCTCCCCCCACACCATGTGAAAAGGACTCTGACTGTCATGCGATGCAAGCCCCCGAATCGGTGTGTGGCATCGACGGTTTTTGCAGCAACGCGTTTGCGAGTGGCTGCCTCTACCAACGAATGCCCGGCTGGACCAAGAAGCGAGTCTGTAACAGTGAAGATCCACCCGATGCGGCAGCACAAGGCATTTGTGAGACTCCCCAATTTGACTATCAAGAAGTACGAATCATGGCTGGCAACTGGGAATCCATCACCTTGAATGCGTGGTTAATGCAGGTCTTGCTCTCGGAAATTCTAGGAGTCCCGACCACTCTGGAAGCTTCCATCCCAGCACGCAATAGCTTTTTCGAACCTTCCGGTGCCTTTGAATACGGGTCACTCGATACGGTTCAATCCTTTGAGAACAACTTCAAGTACAAGGGGTGCGAAAAAGCGAGTCGCGATCCCGACAACTACGAGACTTGTGCCAACTTGAGTCCGGAGTTTTGGATTGCCACGGGAGAGTGGGCCCAGGAAGCACAGCAGCGGGGATTGCTGGAGCCACCCGAAGCCTTGGGAGTTCTAGCAAGGGAGACGCTGTAAGTGTTTCCTAGTTGCTTGCTTACTTGCTCAGGAAACAGCTGTACCCTAATCTCGTCATTCTAACACGCTCTCTTTTCACTTTAAAAAAATCCTTGCTCAGATTTGTTCCCAAATTCACACTGGAACGAGATGCTAGCTTGCTCTCCTACATTGGAATGCAGGGGGAGAAAAATCGACAAAAGTTGGCAGATGCCTTCTTACGTCCAACCCTCTGGAAAGACTATTGCCTCGAAGTTTCACCCAACAACTGCAGTACGCCGGATGAGAATGCCCAGCGCCCTCCCGAAGACGACGACGAGGGAGACCGATTCTTTTTGAAGGACGAGTACACGGGCTATTTTCGCAAAACCGATGCCAACAATTGCACTTTGAATCCAGATACTTGCACTGGTAAGTAGAACGACACTTCAACTCTCAACAGGCTCTCAACAATCTGATTATCTGATCCTCAAAACCCTTTATCTGTCTTCCTCAGGTCATTTGGTGGATTATCCTTGCGAATGGAGCTCCTATGCCGAACAGCAATTGTATCACTTGAATATTTCCTTGTCGGGCGACAAACACGGAGAAGGCGAACGTGGGCATGGGGATTGGCAAACGGTACAAATTCTCAATGCCGCAAACCATACCAAGAGCAACGTCATTATCATGTGGGCGCAGCCCGATCCATTCTATCAACGATTAGTAGGCACTGACATGGAGTTGCATGCCGTCGTCATGCCTCCCGTTTCACAGGAATGCCTCGATCACAAACGTGGCTACAATGATCAGTGTTCCGGTGATATGGAAATTCGCGCGGGAGATCCAAGAGGTGCCTGTGAGGATCCAATGACATTGTTGCACAAGGTATTCGCGACAACACTCACCGATGAACTCAATGATCCTGATATTATACCAGCGGAAAAGAGTCCCGCTGTCCCTGCAATTCAACAATTCTCAATGTCCTCGCCTCTGTACGGTGATTGGTTCAATGTACTCATCCAACACGAAGCACTCAGCAAGGAGACTACCTCTCTGATGCGAAATGCAACCTGCAACTTTGTCGTGGACAAATTTGACGTTCTCCTGGAAAAGTGGATACCGTTTTCATACCCACGAGTCGTTATGGATGGCCAAGAGAATTCGGCACTCATTATTGCCTCGGTGGTATTGGCGTGCCTGTCGACGGTGCTTGCTGTGGCTGCCGCGATAGTGGTACACAAAACGCAACATCGACGGGTCATGCGGTACGCGCAGATTGAATTCCTACATTTGATGCTGGCAGGAATACTGGTGATATCCTCTGGGGCGCTAGTCACGGCAATCCCACCCACCATGGGTTCTTGTGTGGCGGCAATTTGGCTTGTCAACGTTGGATACACAATGGAATTGGCACCCTTGTTGGTCAAGGTAGCAGCCATCAATCGACTCATGAATGCATCGGACAGGATGCAAAAGATCAACATCGAACGCAAGGATCTCTTCCAAGTCGTCCTTGCCATTTCCACGGGAGTCGTGATCTTTGTCATCATCTGGACTGCCGTGGATGCACCAGAGAAACAAGCTGAACTGGAGCTGTCGACTTCATTAACTGCCGCGAACGAAACGATCGTTTACAGGAGTTACTACTGCAGCTCCGAGTCGGATGCTTGGATGTATGTCAGTTTTAGTTGGATTTGTGTTCTATTGTTCAGCAGCTCCGTCTTGGCTTTCCAGATGAGAAATGTGCGACAAGAGTTCAATGAGAGCCAGACATTGGGTATGCTGACATATAGTCACTTCCTCTTTGCCATCCTGAGGTTTATAGTTTTCTTCCTGGATGAGTTGGCACAGTCAGATCGAGCTGGATTTCTCAGTATTCTCTTGAGTGCGGACTCGATTGCAGCGCTCCTCATCTATTTCTTCCCGAAGTTCTTGGCGTTGCGGGACCCGGACGTATCAATGCGGTCTTCTTCGATGGCGATTGGGGCAAGCCGGTCAATGAGCGCGTATCCATCCAACAATGGCACTAATACTAGTGGGCCTCCTTCTGGCGTGAGTGGGCAGCTTTCCGGACCACCTTCAGATGTGGTGTCATCATGTGTCATACCGCTTCCTACGTCGGAGGAAAGAATGCCGGAGTCATTTGCAGAAGAACCAGAACATGCAATGAAAAACGTGGGCGATCCGGCAGAGAAGACAACAGAGGGGTTATCGGAGGATCAAGTTCCTCGAGCAACTATCGAGAACACGGAGACGAGAGACGGTGTGAAAGTCAGATTCGAGCACGAAGAAGATGTCGCACCGACAAAGGATGTAGAAGAATGATGATTGTGTCGCTAAGACCTACGACAACATGTACTGAGTACAACACAAGTTGAGAATCCCATACCACCAGTGTACAAGCGAAAAACAGAACGATATTGCCAAACAACCAGAGCGAAACCAGGACGCTCGTTGTGTCGAGCGCATGAGTTCAATCAACAACAAGATCCGTTTCGATACTTCTCTCCCAATAAAGGGACGAATGCGCGGGGATAAACTAGTGGACCGAAGCGAAGGCTCTTATGCTTCCCTTGCTTTACTACTACGTAACTAGATAACATGCACAAAATTTGAGTGTCTTTTCTCCTAGTCGTTATATTTTAAGAGCTAGCACCACACATGGTTCGGCATGTCTAATGAGTCGAAAAGATGTCACTTTCTTTATCGTGATGAGTTATTTTTGCCGCGGTACACCCGTTCTTCCCACTGGTCGCAACTGTAGGCAGCTTTTCGGCTCGTAGTCGTTTTTCTGGCTCTGCCGTAACGAGCCAGGTTCAGCTTCCTGTTCCGGTGCAGTTCTGGGGACTGAACTGAAGACAGCTCTACATTTCGGAGTTGATTGAAAAGCTTGGTGTGCATTCTTGTCACATTGGAAGCCGCAAGCTCAACGTGCTCGTCGGTAAGCTCACTCAGATTTGGCATTACATGAACGAAAACACCCTTGCCACCCTCCGAAGCACCTCGCGGGACAAGTGTGGGTGGTTCCAATGGATAAATTTTTTTCTTGTTGTAATCAAAGGAAATTTCCAATAGCAACAAGTCCTTACTCTCTTTCAGCTTGCTGAGCATGTCGTAACCAAACAAGTTCGCCAAGGGCCAACCCAGAACACGATTGTTCCAAGAGTTACTGGTACCGGTAGCCACTCTTCCAAAGACAAGAAAGTGCTGAATTGTGAAGGAATTTGTGAGAGTGAGTCTGACAAAATCGTTTGAGCCCTCGACTCACTTGTGAATTGGCCAATGTAGTCACAGGGGCGGAATAAGCCGTTAGACGTTGGAGTCACTTAGATGAGAGTGTGTTGAGCCTACAGCTGTACCGGTAGACCCGGCACATGTTTCCAAAGGCCATACAAGGTGAACGTTGGCAATGACAATGGAAGCAGCTATGGAAGCTTTGGTTTTGTGATCAGCAACAATCAACTAGCTATATGTATGCATACTAGTAGTTGTACTAGCTAGACTAGTTCTAGTAGGTCATACCGTAGCACCCTCCAGGGTGGGTTTCAAAGTGAAGCAAGGGGTATCGAAGAACTGATGCTGCAGAAGATGCGCTTCGATCAGTATTTTAAACTAGTAGGCTCCGGTGCCAGGTAGCTAGTATGTAGATTATTTAGCACCCCCATCGTACCGTGCGGTACGGCACTCCAATAGCGGAAACCCTCGCGGCGAGAGGAAACCTTGCATACGGCAGCGTAGCATCCATGTACACCACCAGAACAAACACTCGATGGATAGCTCGCTCCCTCGACATACCGGTATTGTTGGCTCAATACCTACCTCGCAATCAATTTGCTTCGTCGAGCTAAGGCTCCCGTCCAAAGCGTCAGCCAGAGCCATTCATAAACAGCATGGCTTAGTTTCAACAAACGACAAACGACCAAGAGCATCAAAGAACCACCCAAAGTATCCATCACCATGACGTGGGCCTGGATGCAATCACCCTTCAAGAGACGACGAGTTTAGATCATCATGACGTGAGCTCCTCGAAGAGATGGCTTGTCTTGGATTCGATGCCCTTGTTTCAAGTCTTATCGCCTTGACTATCAAACCTATTTCTACAAGAATGTTTTGTGAGCCTTGATAGACGAGGAGCGCGTGATGGAAATCCGTTAGTTGTCCCAGATCGAAACGGCGGAGAAGTTTGGCTCAAGTCACGGGCATTGCGTGGACGACGTCAGATTTGCGTGTCAATCGGAAGGGCAATAACGGTACCAGGTACTCTTTGGCTTTTTTGTCACCCAATCGTGCAAACGATATCCAAGTCCTTTTCGTTGTCTTCGTGATGGCCATAAAACCAAATCTATATTAGGATTAAAAAGAAAACAACCCTTGACAAGTGCATTACCTTTCAACCTTCCATTACTTCAACTAATATTGCTTTCAAAGATGCCTTCCTACCGTATGATTCCGACTTTTTTCCTTCTTGGAGTTGCGCTCCTCAAGCCAGAGTTCGCTGCGGCCAATGACGCTTGTACCGACTCGATTTCCGTTAATGTGGGGTCTCTTCCATTTGCTACTGCTGCCGACCTGACCGGGATGACTCCTGACTTTGCCAACCCTACGGATAACCTTCGTAACTTTACCTGTGGCATCAGTCCCGAAGGCGTTGGTATTTGGTATCACATTGTCGTTGGCAGCAATGATACTTCAGCCCTTTTGGAAGCCACTATATCGGATGCTCCTGGAACGGACACCAAATTCAATGTGGCTCTATTTGAAGGAACCTCTTGCGATGACATGGAGTGTCTGTTGGCTCGAGAATATCAATTGGAAAATCAACGAACCGAGCCTCGCTTGACCTGGTTTGCCCAACAAGGAATGTCCTATTATTTGCATGTGGCTGGAATCAATGCCAATGAAGTGGGCCCTTTCAACTTGGACATTGTGGTATGTATTACAGTGCGATTGTTGTGATTGCAAAAATAGAACCAAACTCAATTGCACTTTCTTCCTTGTTTGGTTTGATTATCTGTCTCTCAATCTCACAGGACGTCACAACGGCAACCCCATCGGACAATGACAGCTGCAGTGCCCCCGAAGAACTTGTCCTGGGAGCCGAAGCAACTACCGTCAACACCCTTGCAGCGTGGCCTCACGGATTGGAGAATGATTTTTGCAGTCTCCACGCCTATTCCCGTGGCCATTTCTACCAGGTGACCACCGCGGGAGGTGAGGGTGTCCAGGTGACTTTGGAGGGCGAGACATTGCCCGATGATGTCCGTCTGGAAATTGCCGTTTTGGAGGAAGGATGCGATACTTGTGTAGCCTTTTCTGAATTCCTTACCGTGGACGACCTGCCCCACAGCATTGAGTTTGCGGCGACTCCGGGAACACCATATGTGATTGTGGTCTCGGGTGAACGCTTTTCCGATGTTGGAATTGTGCAAATCAAAGTGGACGTAAGTTGAAACCTAGTACAAAATGGAGTGAACAACTGGCTCGGGACTTGTCGCTCACTCACTCGCTCTTTTTTTGTCCTTGCTTTGCCATTAGGAGCTGGAGAGTGTCTCGTCCACGGCTGGAAAGCTTGAGGGTGCTTTTGATAGGGCCATTGAAGCCACGACCGGTAGTGGAGCAGTTGGCACAACATTTGCCACTGCCTTTGGAATGACTTCCATGATGGTTTTGTTCTCGGCCATGTTGATTTGAAGTGGTTACTGCAAGGCAATTACACGATGGTTTTGGTATCGCACTACTTTTTGGTCTGTTGGTTACGACTGAGTGTGCACAGAGATACTTTGTTCAAAGAGGCATTCTCAATGTTTATATAATGTATAAAGAGAAGAATTATGAAGGTGCACAGTTACTTCATGTCGTAGCTTGGATTGCTGGTTACCTTTGCTATTTACATCGGGCACTTGATGTCAGACACCTGACCTAGCTAGGGACAAAGAATACTGGTACTTGACAACTCGATCAAGAGGAGGGCGACAGTGAGAAGGATTTTTCCAAGTAGTATCGTCGTTTCAAGATCTGTTCCAATCTCGACAGCAATCTTTGATTGGCAATTTCCACCGTCGGCACGAGGTAATAGGTGTCCAATCGAGCGTCCAGTTGTGTCACATTGCCGCCAAATGTGTCTGACAGTCGTTTGGGTACTATTGGTTTGAGCAGTGCCACAAACATATTGAAAAGTACTCCGGCACGATGATTTCGTATTTTTTGGAATTTGAGTGGATAGTACATGGCCAATTCGAGCCAATCTCGTTGAAAGGTCCGGGCATCGACATTGCGCGTCCAGTCGTATCCTTCACACTCGGTGAGGACCTGGACACCTCGTCTCATGACTTGGAAATCCACCGTCATGCAATGGCAGAGATAGTACACGCCGGCATGCCAGCTCGTGTAGTCTCGAGTAGTGTTCATCGACCGTACCGAGAATTGAGTAATATCGTAGACGAGGTGGTAGTCGCCGTCGTCTGGATTGAAACTCAACGAAAGAAACATTCGCGGAAATAACTTTATGAGTCGTTGAAGAAACTTGCGACCATCGGCAGGGGCGTCGAGTATATCGTATTCTTGTCGAAAGCCTTGCAAATGAAGGGCTCGGTCCAGGGCGGCTTCGGTATCGCCACGTTCGATAACGGCCAATTGGGCGATGCGAAAGTCGCTGAGAGGATCCAAGTCGGGTGTGTCCTTGATGGCTTGCTTGATTTCCAGAGCCCACTGTCGTTCTTCGGGAGTCAATTCCATGCGACTTTCATCAAAGGGATGAAAGGTGGACAGAGGCGCGAAAGGAGGAGAGGGCTCTTCTTGCGGCTCTTCCTCCCCCCTTGCTTCATCTCTTCTGCCCTCTTCTGCCAATCCCTCTTGTTGTCTTTGCTCTTCCATCATCTTGATCTTTTAAAACTACCGGTACAACAAACTTTTTATGGCTCTCGCTCTTCTGTGGCTGTTCCTGGCTGGTTATAGTTGCTTGGGGGTGGGGTGTGGAGTGAAGAAGCTGCGGTGTTGCTGGTGCTCTGGTTGCTGTGGGTCGCGCATGTGCCTTTGTGATGACGACCTCTTACAGCTCCTCTTACCAGGTGCCTGGTTAGAATTAGAATTAGAGAATTAGTACTCTGATGTGACTCGAAAGCTTTTCCATAATTCCGTGACTATAAGTAATTCGGCTATAGTTCTTGATCTACGAGTACACTTCAAACAGTTGATATATAGAAATGTTCATCCTCGGTTATGAGAAACTAGTATGAAGCGGGATGCGGTAGGCATCGGTTTTTGGTTTTGCCTGCAGAACCCACCCTCAGGCTCAAGAGCCGCTTGATCAAAGTAGTCTATTCCAATAGTACTCGTACAGCCGTGTATATTTAAAAACTATTGTCGTGACTATGATAGCTTTACACGCATGCCCCTCTTGTCCAAAGTTTTTTTGCACTGTAGTGGTAGAGGTGTCTGTACTTTTTTCACTGCCAGCTGTCAGAGGCAAAAAATTTTGCTTTTCAGAGTGTGTTCTACTGCTGGTAATAAGGCATTTTGATGCCGCATTCCTATGTTATTGATTGCCACTCAGTTTTCCGCATTATATATCTTACACAAGTGATACTCTGAGGGTCAAAGAGTTATTCACCAAACCTGTGCACCAATTTGAGTAACAGGTGTCCAAGTCCCTGTTATCTTATAATCAGGTGCAGTACTGTGTACTGTACGCTATGACTGGTCAACTAAAGTCACGAATATCGTGAAGTCCTACATGTACAACTGTCCCACGTTATACCGGTACAGCTGAAACCAGCTATTAATAGCTGGTGGATCAGTTTGTCAGTTTGTTGTTTGTTGTGCCAATGTGCCAATGTGCCAATGGCTCTGGGTTTGGTGGTGGGTGGTCAGGCTGATGCGTGCCCGATTGGAATTGCTTTCTTCGAAATCTGGGCTAGAGAGATGTTTGAGGCTGATACGTACATGTAGACGGCACATGAGCATGCCATTTGATGCCTGACCGCACACCGAATTATCCCTTAGTAAAGCAAGCGTATAGTTCTAGAGTTGTGCGCTTCAGAAGAAAACCGGGGAAGCTTTGCTTGGCGTTGCAAGCAGCCAGCCAGTCTGTCATGCACAAAACTCCCCTGTGGCTTGGTCTTTTGTGCAGTTTTCTGTATTCCATCGCTTCTAAAGCTGAGCATTCTCACAGGAGAGATTGCTCAAATCGTCAAGGAATAATCCGAATCGGCTCGGATCTCACATTTCTACCGCTCTGACGCTAGCCACCGGCACCACTGGACGAAGAAAGCAACAGGGATCGCTCACGAGACCAGAGACACCAAGCAATACACAGGACAAGATCTTCATATCCTGCCAGCTACCGATATCCTTCGCTTCCCAGAATGCTTTCACTTTATAAATTTCCAGTTTACCAAAACCACAAGTATTCCCGATACACTACGGCCCAACTTTGACTTAGAGGATTCCTCATTCTTCGCTTCTTCTCGGGGCCCAGAAGGCTTCATCTCAAACGGAAAAGAATGCTTTCACTCAAGTTTCCAATTTCCATCAACCATGAGCATACTCGGGACCGGTAGCCCCCCCCCAACTTTGGTTTCCTATTTAGATGCATGCAGCCGTTCCCGAACCGAGAATGCTTCATGTCAAATTAGCAGATGCCACTAGTCATCGTCAGTGAAGTAGCGGAAAGCATAGAATTGCTGCGAGCCCCCCCCCCCCCAAGTTGCCAAAACATTAGAGAGAGAAGATTGTCCATTTGATATGATATGAAACTGCAGGAAGCGGCGGAAAGCTACCACCTGCTACCCGCAACCGGAACAACTTTTCCCAGGCAGACCGGCTGACGTGGAGAAAGAACACAATTCAAAGAGGCAGTTTTGGAGCCAAGTGCTACTGTAGAGTATTATCAGTAACCAAGATTCCACATAACAGACCTCTTTTCCAACCAAGGTACTTGTTCCTTGACAGCTTGCATGCTTTCAAATACTAATTCAGGCTGCCTCCAAAAAAACAACTCTCACTTGCATCTGGATCCTTCCTCGCCACTGCAAGGTGTTGAGCCGCAAGGCCACAAGTAACATCCCGTTGCCAGCCGATTTTGCTCGGCTATCTCAGCTACAAGGCCACTACGATTCGCCAGTAGCCAGCTCATCTAGCTAGTAGCTTTCCTTACCAAGCGAAGAAGCTTTCCTTCTTACCAAGCAGTAATAATTTTCAAAGCACAAACTTCCTTTTATTATTTACCAAATCAGTCCTGTTTTAGGAGCAGTCTTTGCAGTCTCCTTTTCTGGTCTCAAAAGACCTAAGAAAAATTGAAGGGATGGGGTAGAAAAAGATTATCTTTCATGAATTTATTTGCCTCATCCACCAGAATTTGTTCCAGCTCTACTGGTTTAATATGAGCCTGTCGCAAAAAGAAGATCTCCTTTGATCATCCCTGATCCGTAGAAATGATTGCTGCGTCTTCAGTGGCGCACCACCAGAAACCAGAAGAGCCACAGAAGAGAAGCGGAAATTTTACTATCCATTTAGAGTACGGCATATCGCTAACTTTTCAACTTTTCCTTGGTTCGGGGTTCGAGTGTTCGAGTCCCCATCCGCAACGGTTCGCACTATTTGCAAGCTACTTTAGTGTATTTTAAGTTCCCACACAGTTATAAGTACAGTATGATGTAAAAGCTTTTAAGCTTTTAAGCTTTTGATGCCTCTTCGACTCCAACCACATTCTTTGGTACGACTGTACCGGTATGGTATGGATCATACCGTATACCGTAAAGTAGACTAATGCAAGAAGACAAGACTTGAAAAATAAGACTTGTACTGCTCTGCTCGATTTATTTTTTGGAAACGACGGCCGCCAGCTGCCTGAGGTGACTTCCTATCCACGATCATGTGGTTCGTACGTACGCCGAGAAACACATGAGAAACACATTTACTTTCATTTATTAATCGCGTATGTGGCTTCATTCTTAACCATTCGTAGATACGT